ATTTAAATAGAGATTCATTATTAGAATAGAGAAAAATAAAAGTATTCAAATACTATACAACTAATTTGCAAGTAATAAAATGTAATGTACTGATGCATTCACCGAATTCCTTATACTTTAAGTTGTTATATGGATAATAGTAGACTGTTCACAATTAAATGGTTTGAATTTTTTAGCGTTAGTTAGTTTGTCAAGGCATAGGGTCGCTAACCCCATGTCCAGCCCCCCTCATTATCCGAGCTGGAGACCGCCAGTAACCCCAGGAGGGCTCCAGGTGGGTTATGCAGACAGACATGACAAGAAACGTTGGTAATCCACTGAAATTATTTTTCAGTATTCAACATTTACAAATGTTTGTGTTCCAATCTGCAACTCTTTTCGATTGTCTATTTTTCCACCTTCTTAAAGATTGACATTTAATCCATCAATAAATTCTCTTACAATTATTCTTAGATTAGCATTCTCCGTTTTTATTAAAGTATTCATATTCACCAAGTTTTAAGGTGTCTACGCAAAATACTTCAGATCCATTGGCCAGACACTTTCACCAACAACCTACTATGTGAGAGAACAAAACAGATTCGAGTGAAGGAAGAAATCAGGAAGAAGCACTGGAAGTGGATAGGACACACATTGTGGAAAACACCGAACTGTGTCACAAGATAAGCTCTCACTTGTAATTGTCAAGACCAAATGAGAAGCGGAAGACCGAAGAACACATGATGTCGAGAAATGGAGACAGATATGATAAGAATGAACAAGAATTGGATAGAACTAGAAAGGAAGGTCCAGGATAGAGTAGGTTGGAGAATGCTCCATTGGGGTTAACAGGTGTAAGTAAGTAATTCTCATTTAATACCACAAATAACCATATTATTTACCGTTGTATTTTAATCACATATTGATCCGCATAGCAACTATTTACTTTTCTTTTGTTTTTCTTTAATCCCATTGAATTTATCAATCGTTTTTGTTTTACAATCCAATGAAGAAAAAAAAGGAAACCGAATTCCGGGCCAGTAAAAACTGATATAACAATCCTAAGGAATACACATTATACATTGATATAAGAATTTACCATTTCCCATCAATTGTATATTGATTAAATCGTTTATTTGATTAAATCAAGTGCCTTTTTTGTTTGGTTTTTATAGTCTATCAACAAACTACCACATAAATAATTTCGTTTATAGACTAGATTCATTCACTTAGACAATTTAGTAGATTATACACGATGAAAATGAAAAGGAACGTATATATATATTGCCGATAAAAGAACATTTAATGTTTCCGATTGTTTTATTTCTAAGGTGCTAAACAGTAATAACTTGGTACTTTACGGTTGTTGTTGTTGTTATTATTATTATTATTACTACTACTACTATCTCTTTCACTTTCACTCACTCACTCTCTCTCCCACTCTCTCGCTCTCTCACTCTCACTTTTACTTTCTTTATGGAATTCTCTCATAAAACTGATTCATATATCAATGGAAATGAATATATAAGTATGTATTTCAATATAACTGGTTTTCTTCTTTGAAAAAGTAAATCGTTTATATTTTTCTAGACTATATGTGTTAATAGATATATATTACTTATTAATATAAAGTAATAATGGATGAGTATCAGTTGAATTGAGTAACTAATTAAAATTGTAAAATATTACACAGGTGGTCCTAACTATATATATGTGAATCCTTTCATTACTTCAAATATAATTCAATAAACAAATAACATTGTCATATTATAAATGGAAACTTTCTTTGTCTAGTTAACAGCTGTTATTACACTATTAAATGATACATTTAATAAGGGATAAGAAATATGGTTACATATTTGAGATACCGATATGAATTATAATTTGTATGTTGAATAATCCATGTTAAGATTAATATCAGAAAGAGATTTTTGTGGATATTATAGTAAGTTTAATAGTGGAGATCAGGATTCGATTGAAGTTAGATCAACATGGAAAACTTAGAAGTACTGGATGGATGTTTCGCCTTATTGTGGGATTCCTCACCAAAGCGAATCCATGATCCCGTCTTGTAAGATTCGAACCCAACAACTATCAGTCTCACGTGAACGATTCAACTCTAGATAACTGAGCCGGCCGACATCCAACGGTGTTAATGTCTAGCTTCAACGAATCCATGAAATTGAGCTACACGTTCACCATTGTCTTCAGAGAGTTATTATCTCATAACAAACCTGATTGAACTCCATTTGTCACTGATTCTCATCAGAACTCCAGGAGATTCTTCTTGAAGCTAGTCACTAGTGAACATATGTTGGTTAATTATTTATTTTTCAGCAAGAATATAAGAGTTTGAAATATTTCCCTGATAAGAATATATCAGAAAATCAATTAAAATTATGTTTTAATGGCTTCTCAACCATTCGGATTTTCGATGTATTCTCATGAGTATCAAATTATTTCCTTGATAAATTCATAGGTATTCTTTCTTGTACAGGTTTTTGTATGATTTCTATTGTAAACTAACTAGTCTATGATGAATTACATTGTTCATTAATTATTTTTATTTTACAATATGCGTTGGTGGTAGATGCACATTGGTGAGGAGTCACCTCCTAGAATGAAACAGTTATCCAGTGATTCCAGGTTTTCAATGATGGTCTAGATATGATCAGTTCTTGAATTTCACCTGTGATACTTTGTTTCGAGAAAAAAATCATTTATTGTATAATTTTTGGAATTCATGATCTTTGATTAAAGACATAATACAATGTTTTCTCAGTTTGTTAGCTTAGTTACCTGAACATGTCAATTACCACCATTGAAACTAGGTTATTATACATTAAAATCACATTCTTAACTAAACGTTTATACATATGGACGGAATTTCATTTTACACAAAAACATTTGTCCAAAGACCAGCACTCACAGAATAACATATTAATTGTTGTTCCACAGAATAGTTTTAAAAAATAAACCATTGTAGAGACGTATTTATGTGGTTAAGTAAAGTCATACTTTCATTCCCTAGTAGTATAAAACTCACTTTGATATTCAATACACTGAGTAAACTAGATCAAAACTATAAATTGTTTTAAAATTGTATAAAAAGACGAATGGATATATGAGTTCTCCTTCGAACCGGTGATAATCTCTTGCATTTATTCTCATTGGACATATTCTTTAATTCTAATTTGGTTTTTCAGTATTCAATTTTTACGAATGTTTGTGTTCCAATCTGGATCTCTGTTGGATTATATATTTCTCCACCTTTTTAAACATTGATAGTTAATCCATCAATAAATTCTCTTACAATTATTCTTAGATTAGCATTCTCCGTTTTTATTAAAGTATTCATATTCACCAAGTTTTAAGGTGTCTACGCAAAATACTTCAGATCCATTGGCCAGACACTTTCACCAACAACCTACTATGTGAGAGAACAAAACAGATTCGAGTGAAGGAAGAAATCAGGAAGAAGCACTGGAAGTGGATAGGACACACATTGTGGAAAACACCGAACTGTGTCACAAGATAAGCTCTCACTTGTAATTGTCAAGACCAAATGAGAAGCGGAAGACCGAAGAACACATGATGTCGAGAAATGGAGACAGATATGATAAGAATGAACAAGAATTGGATAGAACTAGAAAGGAAGGTCCAGGATAGAGTAGGTTGGAGAATGCTCCATTGGGGTTAATAAGTGTAAGTAAGTAAGTAAGTTTTAAGCTTGCTTCACTCAATTCAATTAGTTTAATGATCATATCAAATTAAACTATTCATAACCACATCAACAAGTTGTACAAATTAATTAATAACTCAAATTAAAATGTTTAGTAAAATGCATTGACATCAACTTAGTATTTATCTCAAAAACATAGAATTCATCATCTCATTATGTGTCAGTTGTTTGTGTCTTATCATTGATGTTTAGGAGTGCACTTGCATCCTGTGTTGATCGCTTTGATATTGTCATTGAGTCATAAGCATTTTATGCAAAGATGATGAACGGTGATTTGCAGTGGAATTCACGACGTACATTTTGTCCTATTTAGGACTCATCAGATGGATGTACCTACATCCTAGTGTTGATATTCACTCTAGGATTCGGATCCAGTACCATGCCCTCCATATAACATAACGTTACCCACTTATCTACTGAGTCTAGATAACAATGCAATATGATCGATAGCATTTGATCTTCACTAGGAAGGACTTGACACACATAACATTCATCACCAACCAGTGATCAATCAATTGTGAATACATCTCAATCCTACAGGAAGTCAGTCGTGGCCTAGTAGTAACATCTCCGACATGTGAAGCTCGGTGACACGGAATCGAATCCATCAGTAAGCATCAGTTCCCTTAAGATTACAGGTACATATTGTTGACGAGTGCCAAACAGCACGAAATCCAGGTTCAGAATTTCCTGTTGACTACCTCCAATCACCATTATTAATCTCTAACTAAATATTTTCAATGAATCATATAAACACACTTTGAAAAAAAGAACAAACACGAAAACTTCACTAGTTCACTTCCCATCAAGTTTGTATTGTTCTTAATTTAAATGATAATTTATAAATTTCATTATTAACCGTTAATCAAACAGTCTCTAATAAAGATACTAGAGAGAATTTAAAAAGAAAACATTAAATTCCTTTTTATTCTTTTCCTATAAAACAGAACAACAACACCGTAGTTTCAATGTATATTCTCCATCATTTCTATTATCAATCAGTTAATCATATCATTGAAACAGCTATCATTTGATCTCATCGATGTACACACATATCAATATTACATTAAGTAAATAGTATTTTCATAGAATCAATCATATACATTACTACTACCAGTACTACTACTACTACTGCTACCATGCAATAAATACATTATTTGCATATCTTCCATCAGTTGTCTTTTACAAACTTCATCATTCCTTCATTTTTATAGTTATTTTGATTAATGTCAGTTTCTTTCTCTATTCTCTGTATTTCATTTCCGATTGATGCTATACACTATTCATATCTATTGACATAAGCAGCACGCACCACAGTAGTAGTAGTAGTAGTAGTAGTAGTAGTAGTAGTAGTAGTAGTAGTAGTAGTAGTAGTAGTAGTAGTAGTAGTAGTAGTAGTAGTAGTAGTAATTGTATGATTTGTAATAAAACCACAATAATGTAAAATGGAAACAAACTCTAAGAATTAACTTTAAAATTATTACTGCTATCTGAAATGAAATATCATTGTTCCATAAACAGTTAACTGATATACCTAAACTTTGATTAAAAGTATTACTACTACTATGACCAATACTACTTATATTACTACTACTGCTACTTAAATTACAATTCAGCATACAAATTGTGAAATATAATGTATGTATTGATTTTGTTGTTGTTGTTGTTGTGATAATTGGCATTTTCACTTTTATTTGTTCGAATTTTATGGGTTTTTTTATGTTTCATATTTGCATATTTACATCTTTTCTTTTTTCTTTTTCTGTTTTCTTTTTTCAATTTTTCTCTAAAAAAATAGTTAACCATGGTTAGATATTTGAATTTATAATGAAGGTGTTAAATAGTGGCTAGTGTAAACAGTAGTATTTTTGATGTTTCTATTTTCGACGAGACTATAATTTATGGACGAACCAATCAGGTATAAGATATTTGATTGATATCATGAACCGATTGATGTTAGACCACCGTTGGAAACCTGGAAGCACTGGACGGCGGTTTCTTTCTATTGTGGGACTCCTCAGCATTGCGCATCCACGATCTCGCGAACAGGAATCGGACCCAGGGCCTTCAGTCTCGCATGCAAACGCTTAATCTACTGAACCACTAAGCTGGCAGGTATAAGATAAATTATAGTCTCACCTTATGTTTTTGGTAAGAGCAATAGTATAATAATGAAAGTATAAATTGGACTTTGTCAATTAATTTCCATTCAGCATATATATAGGTATATAACAAGTTGTGTAAACAAGATTGTTAGTACTTGAATATAGTTTATTCTGACTATTCAAAATTATTCCTAGTCAAATCTATTTACGCACTAGACTACTATTACAAATTTGTGAAATAAAGTTTAACGTTAACACATTGATATTTTGTATCAGAAGGGTGGACATTATAGTAATTTCAATGGTTGAAATCATGAGTCAGTTGAAGAATCCCACGAGGCGGGATCGTGGATGAGCACTGCTGAGAAGTCCCACGATAGAACGAAACGGTCAACCAATGCTTCCAGGTTTTCCATTTTGGTCCAACTTCAATTGATTCACTATCTTAACTATTGAAATTATATTTATATTTTATTGATATATCAGTGTAAAAACATGCATGGACTAGTTCGTATACAACTTTATGATCAGTTTTGTTCGTAGTTAGTATATTAATAATATTTATTCAACAAAGATATAAATGTGTTTTACAATAACGCCATGAAGCTGTTCATCTAGTTATTCGTCATCTTTTCCATCAGAATATGATCGAAATGCTTATGTTAAGACTAGAATATCACAGTTGTGGAAAGGATCTCTTAAGGAGAGAAGATTCATAACTTCCTTTGAAGTTAAACCCAAAACCTTCAGATTTCAAGGAAGAGTATTAACTGATTCATATTTTCAAGTTTCAACTGTTATATGATTATGTAATTCATTTGGTTTTCAATTGAGTAAATTTAGTCATCAGCAATTGTTCAACTCTTTTGAGGTTGAGTGATCTGTGGGTATAATTAAAATTATAATGAATAAATTTAAAATAATGGACTTATAAAATGATTTAAAGTTATCGTATTTTCGAAAGATATGAATCCATTGAGTTTGAGTATGTGATATTATCGGTGCCCTGGTACGGCTGAGGGTGAGGAGAGTTAGCTCTCTCTCTCTCTCTCAAAATTTTCTCACACGGTCACCAGTATACAGCCATTGACATGGAAGTTGTACTCATTGCCTTTTCGCAGCATTACTGTTGTCTATCAAATTGAGATGCCCGGAGCTTTAACTGCGCTGGTTTACACGGAGAGTCCACCTAAGGTAGTTAGAATACCCCGATTCCAAACCAGTGGTGCACATGGACTCCAGAATCCTGAAGGAACAATTAGTGTATGAACCAGTCGTTGGTCACCGGCTACCATGGGACTGAATATCTTTACGTTGCTCCACTGCCCTGTGGAACAGACCTTTATGTATGGTGAGGCCCCCTAAGAAAACCACCTGCTTCGATTTGATCACTCAGGCAGTATTATAGCCCACACACAAATGAAGTGACTTGTGTGACGTATATGTATTCGGTACCCTTTTATAACAATATTTATGTGTTCAAATAAATAAATAAAATATCGGTGTAAACTGCTGATAAGCACTTCTTGGATCTCCGTAATCATTCAGTAAATTCAACTAATGAAGGAATTTATCTTAAAATTAGGCTTATATCCACATCCTACTCAACTAAGGAATAAATAACTGAACTTATTAACTCATTGTCATAGAAAGACACTGGGTTCGAGTTCAGATATGAACATCAACAATATGATTCAGGCTCATTCATCTAACAAATCGTAAACAATAGCTTTCGATCAGCATGGATTCCACTAAAAGCCATAATCGATCATTTTTGAAATAACCGGTTTAAGTATTGTATACCGTGATTGAGTCTTGAAAACAACTTAAGAACTCATATTAACAGTTTAACAGAAACGATGGCTATTGAGGATTTTAAAAAGATTTATCCTATTGTCCCTTTATGACTGTTATTTTCTTATGTTCCAACTATTCAGTTCAAAGATCATTACCTGTTAATGAGTATTTCAATAAGGTAATGTTTGATCAGATTATTCGAAATGTATTCATTTAGTAGTCATGATGCTGATAAACTTCAGCTTTTTATTCAATATCCTATAATTCGATATTTGATTATGAGAAAATTGAGGACAGTGTCAACTACTAGACTTTTAACGTGACATGTGGATCTGAAAATGGTGTTGTACATTAATATTAAACAATATCCGTGTAATTTTATAACATGAATTTATCAGCTGAATGTACATGCATTTCAGAGTTGATTTTCTCCACGTGAATCAAACTAAATACAATCCGCTTTAAACGCAATTGAATTATCCATTCAGCTACTTATTCATGATAGACAGTGGTTTGTGAAATGTGGTGAACTTTAATTTTAATTCAATTATATTGACTGCTTGAATTATGAAGTTGATGTTTAGGAGTGCAAATGTTCAATTTATTTTTGCTCATGTACACCCTGTGATGATTGTATCACTATCGCCGTCAACAGTACTGTGTTTGAGTCTCAGAGTAAACTTGAACTCTGGAATGCAGTTATATTCAGCTGACAAAACCCAGAGTTGGACAAAATAGCTATCCTGGTTTCCATTACAAAAACACTTTGATATCTCTCATCATTAATTCGAGGATATAAGAGATTTCTTTGAAGTATTTCTTGGAATTATAGTAGTGACTACAGAGAATCAATAAATATGAAAGGTAAACTAAATATGTGAGCAAGCATAAATTATATATCACTGTTATTGTGTTATACATATAAAGTAGATAAATACAGTACTCTAGAAAGAGCTATCTTTCATATAAACAATAAATGTAGCATAGTTGTACACTGAAAAACAATAATTTAATTATTCTTTATTAAATAGTTAATTTCATGAGTCAATTCAAGCTAGACCACCATAAAAAAAATACCTAGAAGTACTGGACGACTACTTCGTCCTAGTATGGGACTCCTCAGCAATGCTTATTCATGATCTCGCTAGCAAGATTTGAACCCATGACCTTCAGTCTCTCATGCAAGTGCTTAACCTTTAAACAATTAATCCTGCGAGGAGGATCGTCAATGCACACTATTGAGAAGCCTTATACTAAAACGAAATGACCATCTAATGCCTCGAAGTGTTCCATTATGATCTAACTTTCATGAATTCATGAATTCAACTATTAAACCACTATAATTTCTACAAACAAAACCTCTTCTAATAATATTCTTTAGTTCTTCAATAATTATGATATTAGTTTGTCTATTATATCTTATCTATTACCTGAATTGATAAATTAATCACTAGTCTTATAGAGATATAATTGTCTAGTTTTTTTTTGGTTCTTATATAGAATATAGTCTTAGATTAAACAGATATTCAGTGTTAATTATTTGTAATGGTAAGTGTTTTTGGGAATCTTATATTAGTTAGTATAATGTAAAATAACCACATATTCATATAATGACATTTACTTAGTCTTGTAATATCTTACAATAAGTATATTTATCCACATATTAGTAGTATATTTACTGTTTATAAATAAAAAGCATGTGATATGTATAAAAAACTGGATCTCGATTAGTTATTCGTTGATCTTCTTTTTTTCCGCCTGACTATATCAAAATTAAACCTGATTGTATGGATTGAGATCATGAAGTGATTGATGTTAGACCACTATTAAAAACCTGGAAACATTGGACGGTCGTTTCGTCGTAATATGGAGCTCCTCAGTAGTGTGTATCTACGATTCCACACCGCAGGACTCGGACCCAGAGCATTCTGTGTCGCGCGCAATTGCTTAACGTCTAAAACACTGAGCTAGCCGGCATCAAATGGTGTTAATGACTAACCTCAACTAATCCACGAAATGGTGCTACCATATTCCATTGTCACTACCCGACATGGATTAGTTACACTGGTTAAGACCTCTCACAAGAACTCAGAGAATTCCCTTACGAAGATAGTCACTAGTGAGCACATGGTAATTATCAGTATACGGTTGTGAAGATTATTAAGTATTTGACTGAGATCATGATAATTCAAATAATTCATAATAATTCAAAAGTATTGATTGTGATCGCCGATAGATTGCCGTATGCTAAATTTTAAATAGTAATGTAGTGAACAAGAACACGAGTGAAGACAATCGAATGTATGTGAGCACAAAATTACAGAACATCTCTATAAATTATGAGAACCATATAGTAAATAATTGATTTGCAAAATATCAATCCATCATCTCAAACTTCACTGTTCCTTTTGCAAATATCAGTTCATTGTCTCAGATTTCCGTTCTTTCTTTATCGATCTTCTACTGAAATACATTCTATGCCTGATCACAGTTTCTATACTACTTATATGAATATAAGTAACCCATAACACAGTGCAAATTAGATCACTCATAAATTATCAGTTATATTTTGTCAGTCTGAAGAGAGTATGTGATATTAAGTTGCGAAACGTAAAACATTCAGATTTATCTACCTACCTATATATCATCATTATAAATTAATGATTCGACTGCAATTAACAGTCATAAACTTATTATTACTATTAAGCTACTGAAAT